TCCCATTCACTTTCAAAGCAGCACAACAGATCATTTTTCTTTGTATGTTCCTAGCACAATTATTTCTAAAATAACAGTAAGTATAGTTTTGTTAGCTAAGCAGTTCTCTTTTTTTGGTTTTAACAGGGTCAGCAACAGGACTTACCTCATAGGGTTGTGAGGATTATTAGTATGTGTATAGTATGATGAACTCTACCTGGCATGGGGTAAGTTCCATATAAATATTAGCTGATTACTATTACTTGAATTTCATTGACTCTAAAAATCTTCAATGCTCATGTTTTCTTGCTCTTACAGGAGGGTATCAACAGAAAGATTTTATACAGTCACATCACAGCTGCCACCTGGCTGACAGTGATTATAAGATGTCATCAACTGTAAGAATCATCCCAATATCTAAAGGTTTAAATGTGTAAAAAAGGTGCACCATACTAGGATATTAGCAGTAGTATTACTTGTGTTAGGCAGAATTCTAAGATGGCTCTTGTGATTCCCGTCCCCTGGTATCCACTCCTGACTTAATAAGATGAGCCTTTCTAAAAGAGGGTCGAGGAATTTCCTAAGAGATTCATGCAGGAGAGGTGCTTTTCCGTTGGCCTTAAAGAATCAAAAAGCCACAGTATGAACTGCCTACAGAGTGGGGCAGCCTCTAGCTGAGGGCCTCAGTCCTACAACTGCTAGGAACAGAAATCTGCCAATGTGAGAGAGCTTGAAAGGAGACCCCAGGCCCCAGATGAGACCACAGCCTGGCCAACACCTTGGCTGCAACCTTGTGAGGTCCTGAGCTGAGGACCCAGTTATGCTGTACCTGAACTCCTGATGCACAGACACTGGAAGATGATAAAGGTCTGTAGTTTTAAGCTGCTATGCTTGTGGGAGTTTGTTATGCAGCAGTAGAAAACTAATACATTACTGTATCATTACTATAGAAGAGCCACTTCATGGATTGTTTTAGGTCCCATGCAGGGGGACTAACCAGAGCTGCTCAGCTATTAATAACCTCGAAAACCACATTAAACCTCTCTAAGTCAGCAGGCACCAGTCTCATGTTGACTGGTTTATGACCAAAATCTGGCCTCCTGTAACCAAAGGTCCCAGTAGAGAGCCAACAGTCTGTGCCCACCTTGGCAAGGGCATCCTCCAGGGCCCCAGTCACATCCTGCGCCAGGGCTATGGGGCAGCAGAGGCGCAGATCATTGAAGGCGACCAGAATATTGTTGAGGAAGCAGGCAAGGGGTGGGAAGTCTAAAAGCACCATGGGCGGCTGCAGGGTCCCTGGCTGAGTGACTGGCACAGCAGCAGGCAGGTTACTGCTACCCAGGATGGCTGGAGCCGAGATGAGGGTGTAGGAGTTCATTTCATCTTGGAACTTCTCCACTGCCTCCTGAATGGCTTTCTGGAAGGTGCTGACGGCCACCCGCTGGAAAACAGGAGCCAACTGGCCCCGAAAATCAGCTCCCACTCGGCTGAAAGATAGCCCAAAGTACATGCACTGGCCCAGCAGAGAGTCCAGGCGGCCACCTATCCCCCGGTAAAGGTCGGTTTCCAGCACCTGCAGGAATTGTGAGACTTTCTGCAGCACCCAGCCATGGAAGATGGCACTCTCATTAATGGTGTGCTCACCCACGGCAGGGGACAGTAATGGGTCCTCATCTGAGAAGATGGCACGGTACTGGGTGATGATATCAAACAGATGGACACGGCAGGCCTCGATGGTTTTTGTGATGTGAAAATAGGGGTCATCATTCGGGATGGCAGTCAGGATGGAACGGAGCCAAGCATCTCGGGCCTGAAGAAACTTCACCCTCAACTCGGCCTCGGTGAAGACGTCCATGCGCCGCAGGAAGCCAATGACACGGAGGCAGGCGGGGAGCTGGATGTTGGTCCTCAGTTGCTGGATCAGCTGGCTCAGCATCAGCTGCATGGACTGGCGCACTTCATTCACAATGCCCTGGCAAAATGGAGGGTGAGTCATACCATGCTGGAAAAGACACTCCCTGGAACCCATTCCACTAACCCTGAATGCTGCAGACCAACATTCCCACTGCTTTCCTGACATTTGAAGTAGATTTCCTAAAGCTGATGTGTACAGGTTCACTGTGGCTTACAGGCTCCGCCTGCTTCTCCTGCCTCACCTGCTTCCTAATGCTCTCCCCTTGCTCACTGCCGTCATCACACTGGCTGTCTCTGTATTTCTTAAACACTCCAACTTCCCTCCTTGGCCTTGTTCTTACCACTTTCTGGTTTGCGCTGTCTCCCCACATCTTCATGTGGCTGGCTCCCTCTCATCACCTGGGTCTCAGCTTCAATGTTCTTTCTCCAGAAGAGTCTTTCCTGACCACTCTCCCTAGAGTAGTGGTCTCCTTCTGCCCCATTCCCGTTTTGTTTTCTCCAGACACTTACTACTATCTGAAAGATGATCACATTGTTTTTTCATTTATTTGCCAACTATCAGCTTATTCATGAGAGCCAGGGCCTTGTCTGCTTTGTTCACACCATACTCCCAGCATCTGGATCAGTGCCTGGCACACAGATTAGGATTTCTCAGTTGGGTGAATATATACGTTTATGTTCAAGCCTTCCTGGCTGGCAGAAACTAATGTGAAACATGCAAGGAGCTTACCTACAGTTTCTGCCTAAAAGTTCAGTGATGAACACAGGACTCAGTTTGAGTCCTCTCTAGGCAAGACGGCTACCTGGATGACAGGGATGGAGGAATATTTCCTTTCCAGTCGGCGCACGTAGGCTGCAAGCTCCAGGGCCTCTTCATAATAGCTGTTCCGGACACAGGTGTCCATCAGCTGAGGGATCTCTAGGATTTCCAGGATTTCTGTGTGCCGGTTTAGAGTCAGGGTGTTCATCCGGCGGTTGGAGCTGATCTCCTCAGCCTCTTTCACGAAGTTTCTAGTAACAGTAAGGAGAATGTTGGTCACTCACTGCTCTGCACCCAAACCTTAACTATAATTACCAAGCATTTACTCTGAACTGGGCACTGGGCTGGATGGTTTATCTGATTTAATCTTCACAACAAACATATGCGGTAAGTACCCTTGAGGAAACTTTAATCTCAGAGAGGTTAAGCAATTGTCCAAGATCACACACAAATAAATGATAAAAAGATTTGAACCCAGATCTGCCACTTAACTAGCTGTGGCAAGGTACTTACACTCTCTTAACTTTCCTTACTGGTGAAATAGTAATAGGACCCGCCTGATAAGGATGTGAGGATTAAATGAGATGATGTGTGTAAAGCATTTAACAGAGAACCCGACAGAGTAAATGTTCCTTTATTAGCTATGCTTATTTTCATAATAATGAACTAACTAGCCTAGAGGCTACAAGCTTATCCCCAAGTTTCCTCAGTCTCTTAATATATTCTTAGTTACCATCACAGTCTCTATTTCTTCTCCATAATGGCACAGATCTGCTTTATGATAAAGTCTTCTATTTATTCAAGGGGATGGAAAAGTACAAAAGCTATTGTTAAGTATTCCAAGGCTCTAAAGAAAACTTAAAATTTATCATGAAAGGCAGAATTAGTGATAATAGGTTGAGGATGTAGGGAGGCAGAATATGGCTCAAAAGGAGGGTTTTTTTTTTAATAGTTTTTGCTACCCACAAATAGGATTTCTTTGACCGCTTCCTATCAGTGAAAGTTTTGGAGCAGATGACCTCCGGTTTGAGCTGTTGTGTGGATGTGTTTTGTCTATGTATGTTTGTATATGTTTACATAAATATGCATATATATTAAGCTGCCAATTGTAGACTGTTAAGTATGTCAGACCCAATGATAAGTGCTTCGCATGGATTCTCTTTATTTAGTGCTAACAACAGCCCTGTGAGGGAAGGACGTGCTGCTAGGTTCCAATTCTGACTTGGAAACTTACTAGCTATGCCCTTGGACAGCCACTAACCTCTCTGTGTCTAAACTTCCTCATACACATAGTGGGAAAAACAGTACCTACCTCGAATTCTGTTGTGAAGCTTAAATGAACTAACAAAATGCTCAGAGGAGAGCCTGGAACATGATATGTAAGCGCTTTGCAAGCGTTAGCTATCTCTATCATGGTAAACGTCAGCTATTACAGTTGTTAAAAGCCCCTTTAGCGCCGGGCCGCCACACCTGCAACTCTGCTGGAAGCTGGGCAAGCGGTCGAGCAAGCGGCCGAGCGATGCCTCCACGTCGCCAAACAGGCGGTGGATGCGCTCGGTGCACTCGGCGCCGCGGATGAAGGTCTTGTAGTTGGCGAAGGCCAAGTCGCGCGTCTGCTGCAGCAGCTGGGCCCGCTCCTCCGCCAGGCGCTCGGGCTCGCGCCGCAGCCGCTCCAGCCCGGAGCCGCTCAACTCTCGGAGGTAGCGGCCCACATCGGGCCGCTCCCGCCACTCGGCCTCCGGGAAGCGGTCCCGGAACAGCGATGCCAGGAGCCCTTCATCCTCCACCTCCCCAAGAGCTGCTGCGGTGGCCGTGGCGGAGGCCGAAGCTGAGGATGGAACTGTCACCACCGCTGCCATCTTCCTAGCAGCAACGTCACCTCCCCTCCGGCCTAGAGATAGCCGGGGCTCCGAATCTAAGACCGGAAGCAATTGGTGTACACTTCCGATCTCTATGGTTTCTTATCCGGCGGCTTTCTTTCCCCGACGGGGGCGCTGGCGTGGGGAACCAATGGAAAGCGGCTACAGAGGCGGGCTTTGGGGTTGCCAGGGAGCAGCGGGTGTCTGACTTCCGTTTCCGGCGACCGAGGCACGAGGGTTCGGTATCCAACAGCGGGAAAATGCGGCCTTTGACTGAAGAGGAGACCCGTGTCATGTTTGAAAAGATAGCAAAGTAGTAAGAGCATGCGGGACCAAAGAGGGAGCGTGTGTATGGCGGGAAGGCTCGCGGGTGGAGTTGGGCGCTGGGCCGGTCCGAGTCCGTTCGGACGCAGCCGTCAGTCAGTCTTCCCTTTGCCTGCAGCATCGGGGAGAATCTTCAGCTGCTGGTCGACAGGCCCGACGGGACCTACTGTTTCAGGCTGCACAACGACCGGGTGTATTACGTGAGGTGAGGCGGGGTCGGGTGGGCAGCATGGACCCGGGTGGGGTCCCACCAGCGTCCTTATTTGACACTTTTCTTCTTCTTTACCCCTTTAGTGAAAAAATCTTGAAATTGGCTGCTAACATCTCCGGTGACAAGTTGGTGTCGCTGGGAACCTGCTTTGGAAAATTCACTAAGACCCACAAATTCCGGTTGCACATCACAGCTCTGGATTACCTTGCACCCTATGCTAAGGTTTGTGGGGTGGTTTCCAGTCGGCCACTGGGGAATGGAGGAAGTCGGGGATGAAGGCCCCCTCAGGACTCAGATAATTGGGCAGCTTCTCTGCCATGGAGTCTCTGATAGTGCTGGGGGTCATTGCCAGCACGTGGAGATGCTTACGTGTCTTGCTTCTTGCCTATGTTTAGGCTCTGGGGCAGGAGTGCTATGTGGCTGAATAGCCCTAATTATCTCCAGCAAAGGAGCAAAGGCTGTACAAACCCAAATGAAGATGGAAAAACGAATAGGTGGCTGTGATGAAGAGCCAGAAAGAAGTCCAGAAAAAGAGCTGTTAAACTGTCCATGGGAGAAGTTGCTTGTAGAGTTGAGGGAAGAACCTCCTGGCAGTTCCCTTTAGGAGGTGAACAATTTCAGGGACTCATGCATCTTTCTTAAAAATTTTTTCAAAAAGTTAATGACAGATCCAGCAGCCAGTTTATTTGCAGGGATATAAAACTATTAGCTTTTTTTTTTTAAAGACTTTATTGGGGAATTGGGCGAGGGGACATCATTGGGGAATCGGGGAATGGGAACAGACAAGTTGCTGTCCTTTTGTTCTTCAGTCTAGTTGTGGAGGATGTCGCTTCACTGGCCCATGTTGGTATTATCATTGCACTCTTCCTGGGTGAGGCAGTCCCTCGCTGGCCATTGGACGGCCACTCATGGCGGCTCATGAAAGAACTATTAGCATTTTTATGTTTCTTGAATTTAATTCTCTTTTTTATAGTACAAAGTGTGGATAAAGCCTGGAGCAGAGCAGTCCTTTCTGTATGGGAACCATGTGTTGAAATCTGGACTGGGTCGAATCACTGAAAATACTTCTCAGTACCAAGGAGTGGTGGTGTATTCCATGGCAGACACCCCTTTGGTGAGTACTGATGGTAACTGTTAGAAAAATTAAGTATCTTTTTATTCAAGAAGGATGTATTTTCAGTCCGTGCGCTTGAGAGACTAAATTCTCAGCAGCTTTTGAATTTCTCAAAGAACTGTTATTTTTTCGTCTTTGTTATTTCTAGCCCTCAATGCATGCTTATTGAATGACTTGAGTGAATCAGTATCTCTTCTTTTGAATCCCAGGGTTTTGGGGTGGCAGCAAAGTCTACACAAGACTGCAGGAAAGTAGACCCCATGGCGATTGTGGTATTTCATCAAGCAGACATTGGGGAATATGTGCGACATGAAGAGACATTGACTTAAAACGAAATCATCGCAAGGACTTATGGCTGTGTAGAGGGGCCTAGCTTTGTTTCCTGTGTCTGTGTAGGCTCCACCATCATGTTGAATTTTATCAACACTGACCTTTTCAGGGACTTATTAGTTTAATATTCTCTCTATTATGGACAAATGCAGGCTGGATTCTTATTAAGCAGAAATGGCCCAAAAATGAAGTTTTGGATCTTTGTGTTTGTGAATACTGTGTTTTATATTTGAATCAGAGTGCTTCTTGTTTTGAGTAACAGGAACTGATCATTGGAATTGAGGACAAGAGTAGCTTGTTATTGTTATCTGTGATAACATTTCTCCAAGCTCATGATAACACAATGGATCTTCTTAATTATTTATTTATATTATGAAAGATAGATATCGCCGTAACAGAATAGTAGGCCATATCTGGGATTTTACAAATGAAATTTGGGTAAAATAACAGTTTATTCTGCTAATTTTCTATATGGTAGGTGCTCTGTGGTGTGGGAAAAACTTGGATTCAAACCCTAGTTCTGATACCTACCAGCTATATGATGCCTTAGATGAGTCATTAAATGTTAATAAGCTCCATTTTCTTCATCTGTTTCAAAAAACAGCTTTAATCATCTACCAAAGGATGGTTTTTAGAGTTAGAAATCATGATTGTAAAGCACCTAGCACAGTGCTTGGCAAATGATAGGTGTTGAATAAATGGTAAGAATTATTTTTATGTTGCACATACTGAGTATTTCTGTTACTAAGAGTAGGATTTTATGAGTATATTTTGATTATATTGTCTAGGTTTTTACAAGCTGTTTTCTTGTTCTGAGATCTGGTATGACAATGAATGTTATTTTCATCAACTTGGTTTCCTAAAACATAATTTTCCTTATGAATCTTTACTTACCTTCCTGGACTGGACAAAACCACTGAAATAATAATTCAGCTCCTCCATCCTTCCCCATGCCTCTTGAAATCATTTTTAGAATGATTAAAATATTTTTTAATGAAAAACATTTCAGACAAAAATTTTTTAAACTACCTGTATTGTAAAACATTTTCTAATGAATATACTGCTTATTTTAAATTCCAAAGGTGACATCTCTAAAAATAAAACATTTTTCAATTACAAAAAAGCATTCTACCAACTCCTGTTTTTGTTTGCAACATATAAAACTGGGTTTTATATGTTTTTATCCCATTTTTTTCAACTCTTCTCTCTTCCGAGGTTCTGTGTTAACCTCTTAGTGAAGGTTAAGGGACCACTGTATGATGACAGTATTTTGATGGTAGCATTTAGTGCATACTTTAGAAATAGCCAGTATCAAAACTTACACATTTTTATTCCTTTATTGCCATTTGCCTGTGTAGATGACAGCAATAGACTAAAACTTTCTAAGAGGAGAAATTCTTTTTGTTGGTTTTGTTTTTTGGTCAATAACTTTACAAAGCTGCTTTCACCAAAGCTTTGACCAACTTCTGCCCAGAAGAAAAGGGCCAGGGCTGTAGTTATTTTAGCTTAGCATCTTGGCTTCTTTGTGTCTGTAGTCATTGGGACATTGAAGAGACGCTTTAAGAAATACAGCTGCAGGATCCCAGAAAGAATAATGACAAGGCTCTGGGCTGTCGACCACCAGTTCACATAGTTATAGTTTGATTGGAGAAGGAAAAAATCGGCCATTTTCCTCATGCGGGCAAAGTTGTAGTATCGCCACATGTGAAAGATGTTGTTCTGTACCTTCCGTGTACTTTCCTGTGGGGCAGAAAATGAAATAAGGACGGGCCTCCTCCCTACCCCCCATCTAGCCTCACCTGTGTGCTCAGCAGCACTAACCTGTTATCTGAAAGTTGAGTAACTTATTCATATGACTTTATGATATGTAATAGGTTGGCTAGTATAGTTGTTAATAAATGGTAGTTTTGCCGTATATGAAAAAATGGCCTGCGCGTAAAAAAATTTTTTTATAATGCAAAACTTGAATGTGAAAGCTTGAGAGCCCTTCCAGAGTATCTCTAGATTTAGATATGTATTCACATCACTGCCCATCTGAGTGATGTCTTCAGCTCTTCGTGTATGGCAGAAGACTTTTTATTATAGAGCCAGGTAGTATAGTGAATACTTTAGGCTTTGCAGGCCATACAGTCTCTCGCGACTACTGAACTCGGCCATTGTTGTATAAAATCAGTCATAGACAACATGTAATCAAATCAGCATGGTTGTGTTCCAATAAAACTTCACTTGTAGAACAGGTAGTGGGCTTTTGTGCATCAAGGAGATGTAAGAAGGTGAAAAGACATCCCACAGAATGCGAGAAAATACCTGCAAATCATATATCTGATAAGGGACTTACATCCAGAATATGTAAAAGAACTTTTAGAACTTAACAATAAGACAACCCAATTTTAAAATGGGCAAAGGGTTTGAATAGACATTTTTCCAAAGAAGATATACAAATGGCTAACAAGCACATGAAAAGATGCTCAGTGTCATTAGACATTAGGGAGGCAACTCAAATCACACATACTATTTCATACCCACTAGGATGGCTAATAAACACAACATGTGAGGTTGTGGAGAAATTGCAACCCTCGTTCATTTCGGTGGGAGTGTAAAATGATTTAGCCACTGGAAAACAGCAGTTCCTCACAATTAAACAGAGTTACCATATGACCCAGCAGAGTATATTACTATATATACAGAAATGAAAACATGTGTAACACAAAAACTTGTATGCAGATGTTATAGCATTATTTGTGATAGCCAAAAATTGGAAATAACCCAAATGCCCATCAGCTGATGAATGGGTAAATAAAAGTGATCTATCCATACAATGGAATATTATTCAGCCATAAAAAGGGATGAGATATACATGCTCCAACGTGGATGAACATTGAAGACATGCTAAATGAAAGAAGCCAGACACAAAAGGCCACATTGTATAATTCCACTCATATGAAATATACAGAATAGGTAAATTGGTACAGACAAAAAGTAGACGAGTGAGAGCTGGGTGTATGGGGAATGGAGAGTGATGAATGGGTATGGAATTTCTTTGTGGGGGATGAAACTGTTCTGGAATTGGATGCTTGTGATAGCTGCAGGACCTCGGGAATATGCTAAAAACCACTGAATTGTACACTTTAAATGGTGAATTATATCTCAATTAAAAAAAACCAAACAGGCAGTAGGCCAGGTTTGGCCTGTGAGTTGTAGTTTGCCCACCCCTAGTATAAAACAAATGAGGAATTTCGAGAGCTCCAAGTCTTAAAAATTAAAGGTTTGAAATCTCCTTACCTGTTTGGTTTGTACCCAAATGAGCCCTCGGTTCAAATGATATTACTCCTATATTTTTAATCTTTCCTCTAAATTTAAAATCAGTTTCTCCCACAAAATAATTACCTCAATTGCATCCAGAGTATCATTCAGTTGTTTTCTTTCATTCTGTTTGTGGTCTATTTCAGGCCCCTCATAGAAGACTCCAAAATTGAGGTACACTTGCACAGAACCAAAGTGATTTTGCTGATTGTTTAGACAAAGTTGATAAAAACCTGTAGGAATTCTTAGATCATTACCAAATTTTGGTCCCCCACCCTTTGCTGCTCTCCCACCCATAGATTTCCTTGGGAATGTCCGTTCTCCAGTGTTAAATGTGCGCTCTAGCACCTTCTTTTTACTTAGCAAGTACAAAGATCCAGTTTTTGATGTGGAAGAAAGACACTGATCTTACGTGAAACTTACTTTACGAAATGTTATTTATAATTGCTCTGCCAAATACTACTAACTAGTTCTATACTGGAAAGAAAATAACATCTTCCCTCTTTTTCAACCTAAATTCCCATATCTCTTGCTAAGGAATTTCTCAACAAATTGTGTTGAAACTAAGAGCATGGTGTTTGCTTCTTGTTCACCATTAGAGCTGGGAGATACCATCTTGAACTTGAAACTAGGGGAAAAATCAATGTGTTGTGAGTGAAAGAAGCCATCCTGCCAGAGTAACTAACTGCAAGGTGGTCTGTACAGGGACTGATGGTTTGGGTTATGTACTGGTGCTAATTTTCAACCGGGCTTGCCTCCCCTTGTGTGAGGGTGGGGGTGGGGAGGGAGGCGCCGGGTTAAAAAGGTGTGGCATTGGATCTGTCGAAATGATTGGAGGGCACTACTGGCATGGAGTGGCCAAAGATGCTAAATATCCTATAATGCTGAATGAATATGCTGTGCTCTACAGTGAACTATTGTTTTATGCTCCTGTTGAGAATCACTGTTGGGAAACATCTTGTTTTGCACACCTGGCTGGTAGAAAGGGCAACTAAAACTGGTGCTCTCCAGGGTGGGGACAGGTTCCATCTGGCTGTAGCAATTTGCTGGTGACTAGGGAAGTGTTTTGTTGTGGAATATAGGTATTTTTCATGACCGTGCATTTCTTTTGTTGAGTCTGTTTTGTGGTAACTGGCTTAATTATTCTGATTACTGGAAAGAGATGCTATCCCATCCTAAATTTATTAATTGGAATTCTGTGTCATAAATGGGTCTGTTTGGTCACTTTCTCATAATCTGGTCATTTGGAGATGATGAGAAAATTGAGCTTCAGTTCCCTGGTGTTATAATACTTTGTCACCTGGAGACTCTGTCCCCAAAGTGCCAGTGGACTGTGGCTTAATATCCTTGACTGTCGGCAGTCTTCAGGAAAATTGGTTTTTGGTGTTGAAGGCTAAATTTTTTTCTGTTTTACCATCATTATGTGAAAAAGCCACGGCTTTTACATCTCAGGTACTTAATTTCAATACTTCATCATTTCCCCAATTTCAAAGAAACCTATGATTATAATAGCTGTGGTGACGAAAACAGACCTGTCTCTTGAGTAGAGAAGTTAATCTGGCCCCGAACATTCTGAGAGTTTTCTATGAGGAAGCCTTGTGGGGTATGTGCAGTGGCGGTAACATGCCAGTCATGTGACATTCCCAGGGTCCGCTGAACCTGCCAAAACACATTAAAGGAGAAAAGCCCCTGCTGTATCACCAAGAAGCTTGCTGAGTAGTCAGATTGACATCCCATGATCATCAGCATAGTGGTTCTGTTAGGGATGTACTGCCTAACCTCCTCTGGGAATTTGAATTGAGACAGTAGTGTTGGGGGCGGGGTGTGGGGAGGGACGGCAAAGCTGAACATTTTGCCATGTTGGAAACAGTATTGCAGGACAAAGAATTGCCCCAAATACCTCTAGCACTCCCGTTAAGACATGTCACAGACCATGCAGCTGGGGTGTATATCAGTTGGTGTGTATGATTCTGGTTGTAGAGTTCTTGACTGAACGTGCTTGGTTTTGAGCTCCCTGATGTTGGCCCAGACTTGGGCTTATTTGATGGATGACAGCAAATAATGACACTCAGATAGGCACTTGTCACCAGGCTGTGTCTTTATAAGCCCAGGCTACAGTATGCTGACTAGTAGCTAGTTTTCTATGGCAAATTTAGAGATAAGGAAAAAGCTCTGCTAAGTTTTAAGTTACAGTGGAGTGGGGTAAGAGCTGTATATATAATCTATTACTGTGTAAACAAATTAAAAAGTTAACAGGTTTCTAAGATAAGAACAAAGGAAATGGACAGCCTCTAACTTCACTGTTGAGCAGACTGTCCTTGGGCGCTGAGGTGGAAGACTATGGGATGGATGAAAGTAATGGGCCTGTGATCAGGCAACTTGAAAACATTTACCTTCCTAACACGAACAGGGCTGAACAGAGAAACCTTGAGCCAGTGATTCTCCAATTTGCCAGAATTACCCCTAAAGGCAGAGAGTGAGTGTTGCTCTCCCGCACCTGTAAACTGACGCGTCTTTCTTTGAAATCTCTGTGTCTGTCTCCAAAGTTCATGTGACTTTCCATTTGACTTTGTATCACCATATCTATATTTTAATATTTTTAAAATGTATTCTCTTCCCGTCACCTCCAAATCCCAGTAAATGTGATGATTACCTCTCTAGGAAGAGGCACCCTGTTCGTCCGATGCCTTTGAGCACATTCTCATAGACCCCAATTTGAGAAGCCATATGTTTTAGTGATTATTCATCCGAGAGTTTCTGTCTAACTGCAGGTCCATTTCATTAACAAGTGGGGAATCACAGCATAACAGACAGCCAGAACCTCATGTTAGGCTAAAACCTGCCTCACTTTACAAAAAGGAAACAAAATACAAGTCCTCGGTATGGCCAGAGGAGCCCAAGTACCCACCTCATAACTGAAATAAAAGTATCCAGTCTGGTGGGCAAATTGCCAGAAGCATTCTGTGCCTCCTGGAGGGATCATGATGGCAAAGTCATATCGATCTGCTCCCCGGAAGAGCGGCTGGTCCCCAAAGCCACTAAGGGGTTCTGTCTTCTGGCTCCCAGCAGAGGTCACTAGGTTCAGAACCACCAGTCCAGCCCCAAAGAACAAAGGGAACATGCTGGTTCCTGGAGACTCCTCTGCAGGTGAACTGCCTGCAGCCCAGTGGAACCAAGTAGTTTTAGATAACTGCTGGGGTAATCATTAACTGCACGAGTCACAGGCCAGTTTCAGGGCCACACAGCTATTCCATAGAACTGGCACAGTTACCCCCATGTTGGGCTCACAGGAAGAGTTTTTGCTTTCACCTCAAAACCTCAGTGGCTTACAAACCTACTTCATGGGTGCTATTGTAGACAGAATCTACTTCAGAAGAGTATTTCCATCCTTGCTTTTGGCTGTCATTTTTCAGTTCTTGGGAATAAACATTGAGGAAATTTATTTACACCCATCTGACTCTACAGACAGAAGTTGGTTGGGGAGGTTTTTCTCCTATCAAATTGCTAGAGGATACCTATTGCTCCTATAAGACACATGAGGCAACATCTGTTTCGATGGATTCTGCCCAGCGCTACCGTTGAGAGAGCAAAGCACACCATGAAAGTGCTTGCAAACATTTAAATGGATGAATAGAGTGAGCGAAAGACAGTGGTCAACCCCCCCACCACCTCCCCCACACACACTGCTAGTCCTCCTCATCTAAAGCTAGCCAAAGCAACTTAGAGCATTATATTGTTGAAACCCTTAAACTTTCTTCTTTTATCTAACTCTTTGGCACCCACTGACTTCATGGCCAGCACTGAGCTAAGAGATTGACCTGCATCTGACTTTATTCTCAGAACAGCTCTACAAGGGAGGTACCATTACCTACTGCGTCGTAAGAGAGGAAATGGATGCTCAGACTCCAGTGGCTGGCCCACCATCCTACAGCACAGCTGGCACAGCAGGGGCTTGAGTGGGCCTCACGCTCTTACCCACCAGGAGTGTTCTGTCAGTCTGAGTCCTGACTATGTCTAGATGTTTTTATTTCAGCCATAATCGTAAAAAACAAAACAGCTTAGCAGCTAACCAAGCGTTGTTTCAGAATTCATTGCATTGACTCCAAGTGGTGATACTTTAACTGTCACAGCTAATAAGCAAAGCACAGACTTCATAATTGTGTTCAGTTCTCACGGAGGCCAACTGATATCACAGCACTGGAGGCATGGTGGCCCTGCAGCAGTCTCTATGAAGTGAAGACGGGAGAGTCTGGGATCATTCCCAGTGCACAGCAGCACAGGTACCCCCACCTGAGTCCCACCACTGCCACAATCCTAACACTACTCGTGTCGTGAGCAGTGACTCAGACTTAGCAAACAGTCATCAGTACACGGTAAGTTTTATATTGTAGTTCTATAGAAGCGGTAGGCTTTTTGAACACATTTCAGTAATATAATAGAAATAACACTGAAGTTATGTTAAAAAATGTTAATGGACCTTGCATTTTTCAAATTTGAGAAACACTGATTGGGACAGTCTGCTCCCCTAAATGCAGTGTCATTCTTCTACCCAGAGAGCACCCACCATCTTAACGATGAGAGAGCTGAGAAAAGCGTCTGGATCCTGATTCAGTTTGGCGGGAAACCACAACTAGCTGCAACCAGATTGAGAGGAGGTGGCTGGACTGAGAGGAAATCAGGATCTCACTGTAGTTTCACTTGAGGTTAATTGATAGAAAACCAGTAGTACCAAACTCCAAAACACGTAGTTAATTGGTACTAATGCTGTGTAGTTTTCAACTTGTAACTGCAGGAATCATTTTAAAACTTTAGCATTTCTTTACATTTTTCACTCACTCGAAAGAAAGGGAAAATTCTTTTGGCCCCAGAAGTATATAATATGAGGAAATGGACAAATTAAGAGGAAACTTTCACCTCTCTATTCCACATGGCTTCCAAGGATTAGAACATCCAGTACATTTTGACATCAGCTTTTTAACGTGGTTCAGCAGAACTTGTTTAACATTTTGCTACCTCCACCTGTTCCTACATACTGTGCTGCAATTAAACAGTTAGTTACATTTGAGAGAAGCAAGACTTTAATGAAGAATGCTACAAGTTATGGACAGTAATTCTTTTTCGTATTTTAAAAAAAAGATTACAGAAAACACTTTACTGAAATTGTTTTTTGCTAAAAAGACAGTTTTTAAAGATGTCCAAGAGAGACAGCAAGCACAACATGGTACAAAAGGAGAAGGAAATGTTGATTTTCAGTGCAAGACACTAGCACAGCACAATTAGGGAATTAGGCGGAAGCAACCATTTTACGAAGAATGGAATTAGGCCTTTATACCCAATCATGATTTTTTTTTAAGCTTTAAAAGTCCAGCATAAGGAAGGGAATTGGGAAGAGAGAATGGGGGAAGAGGCTAAGCTTATCTACAATCACCAAAAAACACACTGGTTCAACCACATGAGAAGTGGAGGTTAAACCTGCCTACATAGCCCAGCAAATGTTAAGAGCAAATGTCAAGGCAGTCAGGTCTAGGTGTTGATGTCACCACAGGCTAAACAGTTTTGAAAGGGACCCTGATTCCACCAGGACTGGTCTCTCATCAACCTGGGCCCATGAGAGATGAAGTTCCTTTGCATTTGCATCAGAATGCCAAAGCTTGACCTGGAACAAGTTCACTCCAAATAACGCTCACGATGCTGGTTTTAACAGGTCATGGAGTCATAAGTGGCTCCTAACAGACTCCACCATTGCCTAGGAGAAGGTTCTACTGATTACTGGGGATTTAAATTCAAGCAAACCACTAAAGAAGGGAAATACTAGTGATATTCTGGCACTGTACAAGCTATCTGCCTGTCATCTCTGCCAAGGACAGGAGCTGTTTCTCGGCTCCATGATCTCCAACAGCGACGAAGTAGAACTGGGACCGCCCCCACGTCGGAGGAGGACACCCAAAGTTTTCATCCCAGCCTGGAGCAGACTCTCGGGGTATTATTAGGAACCATGATCCTGTGAATTCTGTGGAAATGAAAGCTTGTTTCAGTTCATGCCAAGTCTTTTCATGGTCCGCCAGCGATCCTTAATCATCACAGCTGTTCGGTTAACAAATGGGTAATTTTTAGAGATGGCAGCCCAGTTTCCTTCCCCGAATTTCTGCACTCCAGCCTTGACCCACTCGCTTTCTTCTATAGTCCACTTCTGCAAAAGAAAACCAAAAGATTACAACCTGTCTCTCCACTTATTCACGTTTTCATACAGTAAAGAGGTAAACTCATGAATCCTAGGAGAATAATCTGAACTCAAAAGAAGAGTTTATATTTTTAAAACAATATAGACAGTAAGTTAACACTGAATTTGGACATTTAATAATTTTCAATGTCATGCCATTTCATCTTCAACTAATAATCACTTCTGCATTCAAATTTCAAACCTGTGTGTTGTTCATGGTCAGGAAAATGTGTCAGGTTTCTGTCCTAGATTTTTCTTCCAGAGAACAACTACAGTAAGTCCTCACTTAATGTAGATACGTTCTGTGACTTCAAGCAAAACGATGTATAACAAAACCAATTTTACCATAGGCTAATTGATATAAACAGGACTTCAGTTCCTATACATCTACTCCACATTATAACAAAATGACATTGAACGAAAGGACGTTATTCGAGGATTTGCTTTATTACTTTAGCTTAGTTTGGATGATCAGAAAAACGCAGAAGTTTTTTACCAGATGCATGGGTAGTCTATTTGTGAGATGTGGCTCTACTTATTTTATCTCTCTTCTACCCACACAACCAGAGAAGATCAGAAAAGAGAATTTTAAATTACCTGCTTTTTTGTTACACTGGTTGTGGTCTCCTCATCTGGTACTGCTGGAAAACATTAAAAGTAGATAGACTCATTTCAGAGTTCATTTTTCTCTGCGTAAACCACCAGAAAAAGATAGAATGTCCCTAAAGGGAAAACTTGATTCAAGTTACACAAACTTTGAGAAAAGAAAGGACATCACTAAAGGATAATTTGTTTTTTTTGGCCTTTGTTGCAAGATACCAATCATTTTAGCCTGTGAAAATCTGTACAAAGCAAATACTTTACAAAAAGGCATTCAGAAATGTTGGTTAATGATGGATTTGGGGTTCTTTAGTAAAACTAATATTTTCTAAAATTACTGTGGGAATGTGGTATTTAAAACCCTAACATATACATATACATACATATATGTATATAATTTCTGCTTTATAACCCATTGCTAACCACTTTTTTGAAAACACAGCTTTACTGATTCATGCCAGAATTTTCAAATCCCTGATCATTTTGTGTAAGTAAAATTAGGTTCAATTCCTTAAACAAAAGGACAGGGTAGTATTTACCGCTTCCCACTCCGACAGACCACGTGAGATCTGCTCAAACTCCACCCTCTCACTATATGGAAAGACGTGAAAAAACATGGGCCAAGATAATTTTTTAAAGGGCCAGAGGACCACAGGAGGGTATAAAGGACATGCCATTTCAAACAAATAAGAGCCAATTAAAAAGCTGCAAGAGAAAGTGAAGTTGCATAAATGTGAAACTTGGAGGGTCTGAGCAGATGCCTGTTCCCAGCAATGCTTTCTAAACAGTGGAGGAAGGTGGCTCAGGAGCAGATTAATTTTAAATTGTGACATATTTCATACTATTGTGGAAGCTATTTCTAAAGCTGCCAACTGGAAGTGGATATTTTCTAGAACATTTTTATCCTGTTTTTAAATATTTAATGCCACTTTTATTGGTTTTCTGTTAACTTCCCCCATTTTCCCTGTGATCTTGATCTTGCCAACTATGTTTCTGCCTTTGAAGATACTTTTTCAGGACAAGACCTATGGAATTGGCAGTGGATTACTGTTTTATTATTCAAGTGCTTGGACTCTCCAAAATTAAGGTTTACAACTTCGATACTTCCATAAAATATATGGTGGGAGAGATCCTAATGCAAATGCTATGAAGTTTAGCGTTAATTTCGGAAAAGAAAAGTTTCTCATCTTAGGAAAAAACTGCAGGAATTGGTAAGAGATTTTTTACTTAAACAAGAAATGCAGGGAATGACTACTTCTACCTTTTCTAATTTAAAGACTTTAGGAAGAACATCAACTATAATTGAATACAGGATTTATTAAAACAAAACCAGTAATTTTCTTCAAATATAAAGTGCTGCTTTCACAGTCTCCATCGTTTAATTGGGAAGGACATAAGACTGACTCCTCATGGATCACAAATGAGGAAATTAGTGAACTTTTTTGAGTTTGGATACAGTTTCAGGAACCTTAATGTGACAGTAACACACATGTACGCTTCAGCAAGTGTCAAGCGGGGGGAGACCAAGGAGAATCTCCCCGCTTACCCTGAAACAGCTCGTCCTCTTCCATCCACGTCTCTTTTTCTTCAACCCCATTAGAGCTGTTCCACTTGCCTTTGAGTACTCTGAGGAGAGATGGAGAGGACAAGGTGTAAAACAAATCCACCCTGGGTCATCCCATACTGTCCTTGGCTCGCTCACGGCCCTGTATTCCTCCTTGTTCTGCTGCGACCACATTTGAGATTCACCTACACCCAACTCCCATATCCTGACCTGGCCAGATATCCCCATATTATCATCACCCTGGCTGCAGGGAACACCCTCAAACTCAGCACTGAATCACCGTCCACCTCAAAATATTTCTTTTTAAGGGTGTCTGGGTCTTTTGCAAATGAGTAATGAAAGCAATTTCATTAGCTTAATAAGTGCGTAGACTTGAAAAAAGTTCTTTGAGATCCATGTTTACTATGAAATTACCTCAAGTGGCTGCACTGCTTACTTTCCCTGGCTTTTAAATTGGATCATATCCCCCAAAATGTTATTTCTGAGAATAACTAATTTGCTTGAGACAAAGTAAAGAATTTTTTCCTTCTCTGGATATTAGCTGTGTTAATTACTATGTATAAAGAAGTCAGACAGCTTAGGTTTTCTAATCACTTATCTGAGTACTGGGATAAAACTGCCTTTAACCTCGGTCTGTCATTTTCACTCAAGTAGCTGATCACTATTCCTGCAGACAGTCTTTGCAGATCAGTTTGGTAACCTCCTGCTGGTCCTCTCAACTTGCTATTTATTATTTGTAAAATGTTTGGTACTGCCTAATCATGCTGTAGAAAGGGCTGAGATCTGGATCCTATTTTAGCTGATAGGGCTAAGGCAAACCAAGTCCCGTCTTGGTGCTGGCGCTTCTCACTGGTGAACTTGGAACTTGATGAGCAGTGGTCTAGAGGGGTCGGCAAACTATA